TATGGCAGAGTCAAATTATACTTGCATATGATAGAGTTGAACTAAGTTGGCAATGTTTTTGAATGAAACATGACGAATAACTTAGACTTATTATATAGCAGAATCGAATTATACTTGTATATGATAGAGTCGAACTAATTTGGTGGTGTTTTTGAATGAAACATGACGAATAACTTAGACTTATTATATAGCAGAAAACATGACGAATAACTTAGACTTATTATATGGCAAAGTTGAATTATACTTGCATATGATAGAATTGAACTAAGTTGGCGATGTTTTTGAATGAAACATGACGAATAACTTAGACTTATTATATAGCAGAGTCGAATTATACTTGTACATGATAAAGTCGAACTAATTTGGTGGTGTTTTTGAATGAAACATGACGAATAACTTAGACTTATTATATGGCAGAGTCGAATTATACCTGCATATGATAGAGTTAAACTAAATTGGCAATGTTTCTGAATGAAACATGACGAATAACTTAGACTTATTATATGGTAAAGTCGAATTATACTTGCATATGATAGAGTTGAACTAAGTTGACGATGTTTCTGAATAAAACATGACGAATAACTTAAACTTATTATATGGCAGAGTCGAATTATACTTGCATATAATAGAGTTGAACTAAGTTGGCGATATTTCTGAATGAAACACGATGAATAACTTAAACTTATTATATGATAGAGTCGAATTATACTTGCATATAAAAGAGTTGAACTAAGTTGGCGATGTTTCTGAATGAAACATGACGATTAACTTAAACTCATTATATGGCAGAGTTGAATTATACTTGCATATAATGGAGCTAAACTAAGTTGAATTAACCTGGACTTGCCATATCAGCAGAGTCAAATTTAGAATGGAACTAAGTGCATTAACAGAGAAACCATGGTTGAAACACCTCGGGAAGCCTTTGTTTGAATCTGACTTCGACAAAAGACCATAGTCACATGCTTAATGTGAACTTAAGTAGAACTTAGGTTCCCATTAGGTTCACATTAGGGGGCAGGGAGCTGGAGTGATAAACAAACTTAAAAGTTTGACACTTGTTGAAATTTTCAGAAATGGGTTTAACACTTGTTGAAATTTCGGAGAAATTTACAAGTTGGAGTTAGCCGATGCAATGATGAATAAAGTATCCGAGGTACATGTTACTCGAGGTGACCAACCAGGTTGTTAAAACTTGGAAATAGTGAAGTCTTAATAGAAGATAGCGTATGGAGGTACAAAAGCAATAACACTTGTAAAAATATTTTAGTTTTTAAAGTGTTAGCCGAGGTATGAAAATGGTTAACCGAGGCAAACAGTCAAGGTTTATCCGAGATATTGTATCCTGAAGTTATTATATAGTTAAGGTACACTTTGAAGAAATGCAAAAATATTCTAAGTTTGGAAGCATGAAAAGCATGAAAGAAAGCGGCAAACATGCATAGAAGAAAAAAAGGCATACATTCAATATTTGGAAGAAAATATAAGACTTGCATTCAGAAAAGAAACTTGTTCAGATACAAAAAGATTACAGTTGTCCAAAAGTAAGAAGGAAAAGTACAAAAATGATGAAAAACCAAAGTTCATGCATTTTCCACAGTTTGCCCTGCCTTGGCAATTGGCGTTATGTCAGCCTTGACAGATAGCTGGGCAGATTTTTCAGCTTGGACCTTGGCGTCAATCTCACGCAGTGTGTCATCTAGGCTCTTGTTGGCAGTTTCAACCTCGGCCTCAGAAGTGGTCTTTTGAACCTCGTTCTCCTCATCCTGAGTCAAGTCAAGGACTTGCTCATTCAGAGTTGGGGACTTGGCCTCAACAGCAGCTTCAGATTCTTTCTCGGTAACCTCAGCCTCAGTCTCTTCCGTGTCTTCGGCCTCCTCGTCGTTGGCCTCTTCTACTTCCTTGGCTTCATCCTTAGATTGATTGGGAGAGGGAATGAAAGGGACATTGAGCTAACCCATATCACGGAGGGGTAAGTCCTCAAGGACAGACATCTTTTTTAGGGCTGTCATGTAGTCAAGATAGTAGCCTTTGTTGCAGGCCATGTTGACTTGTTTTTTCGGCCTTAGCAATGGCCTCGGCTTTGGCAACAGTAACTTGGTCCACTTGCTTCATGTGCTTTTCTTTCGAGACATTAAGTTGCTAGAGGCATGAGCATGTTGGATTGACTATAAAGAGATGGAGTAGATTGCACAGTTATGACATCTGGGATGTCAACAAGAAGGTCTTCTATAGCAAGAGTTCGGCGAGACATGTCGTCATTGGTTACGACGATGGTTACACACAGATAAGGCGATTGGAAAATTATCAAGGTCTAAGGCTGGGAGCTTAGGACTTCGGTGTTTCCTGTTCCTGGTTCTAGTTGCAAGATTGTTGCTATGTCGGTGTTTTCACTGCCATTGAGATGGTGGGTTGATGTGTGGAGCAGCTGATGAATTGCTTGGTTGTTAGTCTAGTTCAGCTGGTAGAGTTTGAACCTTGGGCACAAAGAGAGTCTTCATAATAATGAATGCTTCAAGAATAGCGATGATGGTTTGCAGAGGCCAAGAGAAAGAGAGTCTAGGGACACAGATAGAGACGAAATATGAAGATGAAATGGTTTTACTAGAATTAGAAAAATATGGCAAAAAGTTATGATTTCGAGTCCTGACGTGCCCGTGCTGACGTCAGACGGCGAGGGGCAGAACTGATGCGACATGATGGGGACGTGATTGGTACGCTCCAATCTCATGATGATCTTGATTGAGAAGTGCGATCTCAGTTGAGATATTGATCTCGGTAGAGATGATAATCTCGGTTGAGATGGTGATCTTGGTTAACATGATGATTTTAGTTAAGATGTTGATCTTGGTTGAGATGTTGAATTTAAATGGGGGCAGAACTTATTTATTCTTGGTTTCTGATGAGTTGATACTAGGATCTTGATGTTCTTGAACTAGCAAGTCATGATCTCTGCTAGCAGTGCGATCTTTGTCGAGATGTTGGACCTAGATGAAATGGAACATGATGGTTCATGGTTCTTGATTCTTGACGAGTGGACATTTGAGTCCTTGTTTCTTAGTGCCAATGAGTCACGATCTCGGTCGGGGAAGTATATGTATAGGTTTCATCACCTCAGTTTGCTGAGGTAATAGAACTTAGGGGGTAGTTGTGGGGATATATTTTTAGGTAGTCCACGTGGCCAAGGTTGTTAGCCGAGGTGCCACGTGGGTGGACCATAGTGCCGAGATATGGTTCGATAATATCGAAATTCAAGATATTTGGATAGAGGACTAGAGTCCTAGATGACATCAAGCTACCTATTTGGATAGAGATAGGACTCTTGAGGGAGTTCATCTTAATCTGAATAGTGTAAGTTGTGATTAATGTTATCCTTATAAATGATAGAGTCCCATGAAGTAAGACTTTTAAGGGAAGTTGGACACTGATCATTATAAAAGTAAGGCACCCTCGTGAGTTTAAGGTATGCTTTATTTGAGATACTTTTATGTTTTCATTATTGAAGTTTAAGTACTTGTATTGATATTTGTGAGACATAAGATTACTAACTTGATCGTCAGAATATCCCCGGGTGAACGAACCACCTTGATATTCTCATATTCTTGTTGGCAGGTGTTCGAGCTTAATCTATTCTGTCAGTACTCTCCAACTGAGTTCTCCGTTTGGTTGTGTGGTCAGAAATCAACACCCACAATATTATTATTATTATTATTATTTATACAACTTACAAATTACTAATAAAATATAGACAAAGTGATGTTTGAATTACAACTTTAATACTCTATTTGATTCACTGAAATAAGATAGAATTGTCATTCCATAAACTCTTCGGGGTGCTTTGGGAAGTCCCTTTTTTGGCTTTTTTCTTTTAGCTTATTTTCATTTTTGGTGAACTTTTTTTAAACCTTTTTAAAAAAACTTTAGGTTTCTAGATTCAGCTTGACAAAATAAATCAAAAAATTATAAAAAAAAATTAAAAAATCTAGAAAAGACAAAAATAAGCAATCTTTTTTGGCTTATTTTTGTCTTTAGTGATTTTTTTTTTACAAAAAATATACTTTTTAGATTCGTCTCAACAAGATGAATCAGAATGGAAAAAAAAAAAATGATGTTTTTTTTTTTTTTTTTTGCCAAAATGGGCCGAAGTGATCATTTCCTTGTAATTGTAAATGATGATTCTATATCTAATATATATATATTTTTTATTATTTTTTAATTAACCAAATATAAAGATAAATATTTTGATAATATAATCATTTCATTCTAATCAACCAAACACTAACTATAGAAATATAATATAATTATATAATATTTATATAATTTCCCTCCTCAACGGAGGTTAGTGTAAAGGATCATTTTGCTAAAGTAATGGTGATGCTTGTGAGAGAGAAATACAAGAGCTTGTATACTAATTTAACTAAAGTTGACGTTACTTGAGCCATAACTTGCTAATGTTAAATCCGTGTATTTAAAAATAATATTTACAATCAAATCTCTGTGCGTCTCAAGTAATACACAAAATCGATGTGAATGGTATTTTTATTTTTTATAATTAAGTGTTAAAATCAATTTGTGTATATTTCTACCAATTTTAAAATTTTGAAATTAATAACTAGACAACCTCTGATTAATCTTGTCCTTGAACTCAAAATTTTAAATTTTATCTTCAAGATTTTAAAACTCATTTGAACACATTTAAAACTTGGTTGTGTGAATGCTATTACTCGAGCTTGAGCTCAATAGGATTTTAAAACTCATTTGAACACATTTAAAACTTGGTTGTGTGAATGCTATTACTCGAGCTTGAGCTCAATTGGATTAAAACTCATTTGAACACATTTAAAACATCCAAAGGAAAGGCAATTGTTTTGAACAATGTACCAAACTTCATCATATTCCATGGTCTGTTAAACAGATGAACCTGTAAATTTAATTTGGACCATAGCTGAAAACCTAATTTCATCAAACAGTTCACAAATTTTTGAACTCAGAAGTCGGAATTTAAAACCAAACCGCCAAGAGAGCATCTCTTCACAACCAAATTACAAACGATAACGATAAAAGGGGTCTGAAAGCAATCAAAGTATCTCTGATCAGTTTCGTTACAATTCTAATTTCTGACAATGAAATTTCAATACTAGCTGTCAAATTTACACAATCAGGAAGAAGAATACAAGGGAAGACACACATATAGTATATTTACTTGCATTGTCGTTAATAAATAATTTTTTTCCCCACAATATTTGATAGCTCTAGACCATCAAATAAACTGGTGATATGTTCCAAAGTGCAAAAGAACATCGGAACCTTCAAAGCACGAGCAAACAAGCAAAGGTATGTGAATGATTCTGAGGAGTTTCATTTTTCAACTGCAACAGCCACCTGCTGGAGAAGCAGAGGCATCTCTACCTCCTGATGGCCCGGGAATGCCACCATATCCAACTTTTATCCCATAAGACTGCAAAGCAGAACCAAATAACCCGAATTTTTAGTACTGGCAGTTATACTAGTCATCCAATCATGTTCTTTAGTTTTGTTAATGGCATGAAAAAAGCTTTTGATGTTAAGCAGATGCTTTTATCTTTTTTGATAAGCAGATGCTACATAACAGGTTACAACTAGTTATGACTTCAGTATGTGAAAATCTCAACCCGGGGTCAATTGACTTGAGCCCATCACTACTTTAGTCAATTGGAATGTGTGCCCAAGTCTCCTTCTGATTAAGTGAGTTTCGTTCAAGTAATCCCAGAGAAAAATGAGGTCTTAATAGAAAGTTTAATTCTTTAAACCATTTTTGTCCCAAAAATATTGTGCTATTCCTATTTTGTAATGAAATGAAAATAATAGCTTGCTCAACCCAAACTATCCTAATAAAAAGTTGAAAAATAATTTCAAACACACTCAAAGAAAAGCAATATGTTCTTCCACCATAAACAAACAAACCAGAGAGAAGGAGAGAGAGTGAGAGAGAGAAAGAAAGGATACCTCGTTTGATATGTCAAACACTCCATCCTGAATCTTCTTATAAATTGTAGCGGCTGTGCTTATAAATGCCTGTACAAAACTTCTTTATCAGAAAGACAAGAAGAAATATGTCCAAAAACCAAGAAACACCAACACTCTTAAGGTGGTGTGTCATGTCTGACATTGACACAACACTTGCAAGACATTTCCCAAGACCTGTCGGACACACAGACAAACATGTCCTATTTTTAAAAAATTCTACATTCGGACATGCTTCAGATTCTGGGGAACACATGTCTATTGCTTAGACAAACATAAAATACATTACAAGTTTGAATAAAGTAATTCACAATCCAATACAAAAGAAAAATAACATAAATTTATACATATTTTCATTCTTTAGAGTTTAAAAATTATTTTTTTTAATTAAATATTCATATATATGATATATAATATTGCATGAGTCCCCCACATATCGTGTCCTATATTTTTTGTGGATTTATGTGTTGATGTGTCCGTATTGTGTCCGTGTCTGTGCTTCTTACCAATGGCAAAAAATGAAAAAAAAAAAAGAAGGTGCTCATGCTAGAAACTTTCTTAAACACTAGGCAGTATAACTCAGTTGGGAGATTCATCACCTCCTCAACATTTTGAGCTGTTTTTGCTGAAGCCTCCATGAAGATCAAGCCGTGTTCCTTGGCAAACTGCTCGCCTTCCTCTGTGCTTACAGCCCTTCTATGAGCAAGATCACTCTTGTTTCCAATGAGCATGATAGTCATGTTTGCATTTGCATGCTGCCTTGCATCCTCCAACCAGCTCGCAAGGTGATTAAAAGTTTCCCTCCTGAATGACAAAACAATTAAAGTCATTCTTTATCACTGCAAAGCAGAAGAGCCATATTACAACTACACAAAGACTAGTTAGGGCTCCACAATTCCGTCACTCAAATTCATCATAATCCGCCTCAAGTATAAAAGTAAAAGGTAATTGCATTTATCTATTAAATTACACCGAGATATAATATGCTAATTCTACTTTTATTCTAACAAGCAATATCATGGTACAATAGAAGACATTGCAACAGATAACAGACAACTAGAATGGCTTTGGTATTTCTCTAATTATATTCATTTCCTCTGTAGTTTGTATAATCGATCAAAATAATAAAATGCCTGTGATTTGTTTAAACTTATATTGTTCTGAGAGATTTTCATTAACTCATCATCCTATTTTGGCTGTATTGGCATTTAAGCAAAGAAATATGCACTACAAAAAACCAAATGTAACAGTGGTATACAAATAACCTCCTTTTCCCAGATCTGGTAAGCAAAAACAATTCCATTCAGATCCATTTGTGAAAGATGAACAGGCTAAACAATCTGCCAAAGCTGACGAGAGACCACCACTATTGGTAGAAAGATATCTTCCAAACCACTCTTGTGGGAGATCCATTCCAATCTCAAGGTCTGAATCAAAAAAATTAGAGTACCATCCAAAAATGGATGTTATCTAAAGTCTAAACTTGTTTAACCACAATTTTGAATCATAAGAGCGATTTCACATAATATTTTGTTAACATGTTGCCTTCTCAGTTAATAGGCTTGTTATCCGAGTCCCACAAAATGCACTTTCCAATATTTAAAGCTCTCTCTCTCTCTCTCTCTCTCTCCACCCCACCCCCCGGGCCCAACACACACACACAAGATATCCAGACATTTAGCCTAACTAAATCCGCAAACATGACCCAGGCACCCAACAACACAAGTCAGGTGTTCTCCAACAATGGTAAAAAATTCAAACTAGGGACTACTGCTTCCTGAGGCAGGGACACTTGCAACTGTTTTACTGTTGCATTAATGATGCACACATCATCAGATAGCATTATGCACTCCTTTTCTCATGAATTTCAGAGACTTGAAAACAAATCTAACCTTCAGGACAAAGAAAATCCCAATTTGTCGACATTTCAGGAAAAAAGTTTGTATGAGGCAGTTATGATTAGTTTGCATAATTGTAACATGAAAGCCTTTCAAAATGGATATCCAAAGAAGAATATCGAAAAACGTAGATACCAGATTATCATTTTCCTTCTCTCAAAAAGTATAATCACAAGCAACAACTGAAGATGCAGATGCATATATTTATGTAATGCATGCAAAATTGGGCCTAAGTTTAGGTGCATTACATGAAAAAAATTGACAAATTTTCAAGCATAATAATAGATAGCCTTGCTCATGTAGTTTAAGAAGATTCAAACAAACATCATACCTAGTGATGTCATAAACAAGCAGTGCACCAGCTGCCCCTCTGTAGTATGACCTTGTAATAGATCTGAATGATTCTTGACCAGCCTGACAGCAAGGAATGATGAGCAATTACAAATGCAATCATTTGCATAAACATATATCTAAGATAAGAAGCAAACTTTGGGTTCCTTACAATTCAGAAATTCATGTCATTATTCACCAAGCAGCTAAGAAGAAACCAGGATACTCTACATCGGACAATTTAATAGTAGAAAAATAAAGGACCAAGAATAGCAACAAACCGTGTCCCAAATCTGCAGCTTTATTGGTTTATTGTCAATTGCGACCATTCGAGCCCCAAATTCAACACCAATGGTTAGGTCATGCACAGGCTGAAACCTTTTGTCAGTAAATTGCAGAAGAAGACATGATTTTCCAACTCCTGAGTAAGAAGAGATCAAACTCGCATGAGTTGCACTGTTCCATGCACGATCAGTGACTATAACAAATAACTCTGTCCTATATTCTACACTGAAAAAAGAATCATAACTTCTAACAATGTAATATGATATGAGAAGATACTAATTTAACAAACTTATACATTTACTTGGGTCCAAGGTGGCATCCAGATTACAATCCTGAGTATTATATCTGGGGTTTAAATACTTAACCTCCCCTTCCCATCTCTCACTGGGGTGGTGGGCAGGGAACTAAGCAAACATGGACATGGACATGTGACACGACATAGACACGCCAACACATAATTTTTTTTAAAATGTAAAATACAATATGTGGGGACACATGCAAAATGTTTATGATTTTATATATTTAAATATGTTATGTAGAAGGAGAAACAATTATTATATGTCATATATATGAATATTTTATTTAATGGCAATAATTTTTAAAGTATAAAGGAGGATAATACAAATAAATTTACATTGTTTTTGTTCTATCATTGGATCCTAAGATATTTATTCAAACTTTACCGTGTTTCATATGTGTCCAAGTGATAAACATGTGTTTCCCAAGTGTCTAAAGTATATCCAAGTCTATAATTTTTTATTTATTTTAAATAGTAGGGCATGTTTGGACACATGTTCAACAAGTATTGGGAAGTGTCCGACAAGTGTAGTGTTGTGTTGTGTTGGTGTTAGACACAACACACACCACCTTCTTGAAAATGTCCATATTTCTTAGGTAGGGAAGAAAAAGAACTTCAGATCGTGATAATTTGAAGTGACACTTCACTTCATGGAGTAAAAGAAGTTTCACTTCTCCCTATCAACTTCCAATTCTATTTGTGTGATAGACATGTCCATCTCTCATGCAATCTTGGTGGAGCCATGAATTTACTTGGCTAGTCCCTGAAGGTGAGCCATTGTGATCTTCTGAATCTACTTGAAACTAATTACTCCAGAGGATAAGCCTACTTTGACTTGTTATTTTTCTATATATTCTTTTAAAGCCATTTTAATACCTTGTTACAATGAATCCCAAAAAGTCACATAATTTCTATGACTAACGGCAGCCAATTCTACTTATGAAACACCTTGTGCTCCAAGTTTGCCTAACAATCTACAAATTTGTATCTGAATGAAGGGTCATGCTATGCTACATATGACATTTGTGGAGTTAATTACCACAAATGTCATAACTAAATCATTTTCAGTCATGACTAGAAAAAAAATTGAGTCATAACCAAACTTATGAGTATTTTTTTTTCCCCTTAATCTTTGAAAAAATCAAACTATTTATTCAAGTAACCCACTTTTCAAACCATTTATCATACTAACCTACTTTTTAAAAAACACAAGCTCAAAATGCGGTTTCACCCAAAAGAGAATTTCTCCTTAATGAATGCTCATTCCATTTCTATCATTTTTTTTTCTGTCTTTATTTATTTATTTATTTTTTGGTAAATTACACTCACCTCCCTTGAGATTTCTGACAAATGCAGGGATCTCCCCTGTACTTTCAATAATTACAATAACCTCCCCTACTTTACCTGACATTGTACAGATTCCCCCAATCCGTCAATTATACATAAACGATGTTACTTTTGTATACAAATGACCATATTACCCCTTTATTTGAGCGTGAAAAGACGAAAATACCCTTTGATTATAGTATTCAACTTTGTTTTAATTTTTATTTTTATTTTTTGTTCTCTCTCATCTCATCTCATCTCATCGCATCTCATCTCATCCCCCAATCCCAACTTCACTCTGGTTTCGAATTGCAACAGCAATGTAATCTGAATTCTCTAAATCACTCTCATTGTTCCTAGGCACTACCTGAAGCTCCACCGAACCAGAATCGGAAAACCCACCAACCACAGTTGACCGCGCCTCGTACACCAATGTTGGAAGCTCCACGTCCCAGTTCGAAGCCAGTTCGACCAAGATCTTCAAAAGCCCTCCAAGAGCCAAAACCGCAACCAAATCATACAAAGCAAGTGCAATTAGCAAAACCCAAGTGGTCCATTTAGGAAAATTGGTAAACCAAGCCGCCACAAGAGAGAACACCCACAATAGTGAAATTGAGAAGCAAAAAAAAACAAGTGATGGAATCGATTGGGATTGAGAAATGTTGGATGATGGAGAGGAAGATTAAGTAGCCCATTGCGGCGAGGACGAAGAAGGCGGAGAAGCGAGTGTAGTTCTTGAGGAAATTGGTGAAATTGGTGTAGTAGAGGAGGACGAGGAGGAAAGTGACAATGGAGATGATGATGACAAAGACGAGGGCATTGAGGAGAGCGCCTTTGAGTTTCTAGGTGGCGCAGTCGAAGGGGGTTTCGAGGTAGACTAGATTGGTGGCGGGGCGGATGGGTGCGGCGGAGGAGGAGGAGGAGAGGGAGTAGACTAGGAGGACGACTAAGAGCATGCAGATCGAGACTAGGGCCATGACTCTAATGATTTCTAGTCCGATGGATTCGAGAATGCTTCCGTCCATTGGAAGGTTTTTGGTTGGGGAATTTAGTTGAATGGGTGATGTGAGGGTTTCGGGGGTGAGGGTTAAGGATTAGGGGTGGGGAGGGAGGAGAGAGAGGGCAATTTAAGTGTCATTTTTGAAGATTTAAGAGAGAGAGAGAGAGAGAGAGAGAGAGATGGTAATGGAGTTAGCAGTCACAAAATGAAGTCAAAGGAAACTACCCACCATTTTCTCAGAAAATACACTGTTTTGGACATAGATGGGTTGAGGACACTTGAGGGTATTATGGACATTTTAGTGTTTGGCTTTGATGACATCAGCTTTTTCTGTGAAACAAATAATCGGAAGTCAACAAAAAGGGGAATCTGGAGAATATTAGGTAAAGTAAGGGAGATTATTGTAATTATTGAAACCAGTGGGAGGTCCTGTATTTGTCAGAAACCTCAGAGGAGGTGAGCGTAATTTACCCTTCTTTTTTTTTTAAGTATTGTTTTTATATGATTTGTCAGATAATTTCCAACCTACCTTCTTCCTATTCTCAGCAATCAAACAAAATTTCCGTGCATATGTAAAAATTGATAGAGACAAAACACCGAATTTAACTTTGTTCAATACAACAGAAATTGGCATAAAACAAGATCAATTAATACAAAATGTCAAAATCCACACAATTAACATAAAATCAATTGCTTGGCTATTGAAAGACATGATAGCACAAAATACAAAATTCACTGCTACTCAAAATTGGCACAAAAGCACAGCGATTCCTTCTAAGTTCCAGATCCACAAACTCAAAAAAAAAATAAATAAATAAATAAAAAATATCAGTTCATAAGCAGTCTATACAAGAAGCACACAAATCCAGGAAAAACGATCCAGAATTTGAAAATTCGAATAGTATAATAGAGATAGAGAGAGAGAGAGAGAGAGAGAGAGAGAGAGAGAGAGAGAGAATTGAAAAAGGAGTACCAGTATCTCCGATGATGATGTACTTGAAGAGGTAAGCGTAAGACATGGTTGGTCAGATCTTCGATTGATTTTGCTCAAGAATTGGCCGAATTAGATGTATTGACGAATGAATTGAGTTTAGATCGCGCCGAACAACAATGAATTGAGTTTCAATGAAAGAACAAAATCAGAATATGCGTGTGTGTGTATGTGAATTATATATGTATATGATGGTTGAAGATGAAGAGGAAGAGGATTGAGGAAGCTTTGTAATTCAAAAACGCCAAGCAAGTCGTCTTTGTTCCTCTAGTTTCCTTCCTTTCTTCGAACTTCTTAGAGAGATTTAGAGAGAGAGGAGAGAGAGAGAGAGTTATACGTAGGATTTTAAATAACAAATGAATATCATGAAGAAGCTCTGTGTGCTGAGTTGTCGATGCTCCAACTATAGGAGAATTCTCCAAAACCATCGTGTTGAAATTTTCTGAATTGAGTTGTTTATTTTTCAGATTTTTTTTAATTGATTTTTTTTATTATTTTAAGTATTTTTTCTATATTTATTTTCATTTTTTGTATTTGTAAATTTGTAAATATTTTTTTCACAAATATTATATTTTTAATTATATTTATATTAAGTGTATCCACAAAAATAAAAAATTTGTTTTAAATATTTAAAAAATCAACTAAAAAAATATGAAAAACAAAAGAATTAATTTTTAGAAAATTGAATTTAGGAAATTAGAACCAAATAAGGTGAATTTTAGGAAAAATTCTAATATACAGTGTACCATATGCATCTCTAGTTATGTCATTTTCTTTTTTAATTATGATTATTATTATTATTTTTTTTAGTTATGACTCGTGAGTTTTTAGAATTTTTATTTGGCAACATTAATTTTTTTATTATTATTAATAAGCAAAGCATATCTTTAGATTTCAAAATATTAATTCAAATATGACAAACTAAGATTAAAATTATCAAAACAAGCAAATTATTGGGTTTTAGAGAAGTTGCTAATGATTTTAAAAATGTCACTACCGAGTCGCTCGATTCCCAACATGTATCACTCAATATTCCGAATACTATTACACCGTAACCGATATCGATATGTTATCCGATATCACTATTTAGGACCTTGAATTGGAATCCAAAAGTGACTGTCCCTCAAAGAACTTCAGATGATTGTCATAAAGAGGTTCATCAGGTCTCATGGGAGTAACAAAAAAAATGCAATATGGCATGGCTCTTAAAAAATTGGGTCATTAGAGAGACTCTAACGGTACATCAAAATTTTTATTAAATTTGAATAAAAATTTGAATAAAAGTTTCATTTGATATTAAGTGTTCCACGGAGGGATTTGTGATTTCATCAAACCACTGTTCAACCGGTCAGTGTAATGTTTTTATAAATTTTTGCTTTAAGGTGGTCATCTGGGAGGACATCCGGTGGTGACAATCCAACAGCAATGAACAGTGATTTGATGAAAGACACATTGATCCTCAGTTTGATAAAAAAAAGTGAAATCCTGAATTTGATGAACCGTTGGAGAAGCAAAAAGTCACTTTTTTTTTTTATCAAATTTAAATTTAATGATGGATTTGATGAACCATTGAAAATGGTTTTAATGGGTCTCCCACATGAGCAAGGATCCTCTTGTAATGGTCAAGATTGATCTTAAAAGAATCTAATGGCTCAGATTACTTTATTAAAAATTAAAAAATAATTTTTCCGCATTACTCATTTTAATAAATGCACCATTGACATTTGTTTAAAATACAAATTATTTTTTATAGCTTGAAAAATTATAAATACCTCATTGTCAGAATTTTTTATTTAATAAAATTAATTGAAAAAAATAAAATTCCTAACTGCTCTTCTATACAATGATAAAATTACTTGAATTATTAATTGAAATAAATTTCTGAAATCATTAAAAACTGTTAATTGACTTGATAATTTATTAATAAAAGGGATCATTTATTATGAGTTATAAATTTCAAGGGACAAAAATCATATTTTCAGCAATTCTAAAGAGAACTATATATAATTTACCCTATTATTTATATATCAATTAAGAAAATGCCTTTAAAATGGATAAGATTCTAATTATATAAATATCTAAACACATAGACCCCACAATTCTACACTATTCAAAAATTACACTCGGTTTGGGTATGAGTTTTTAAAAATAAACTTTTTAGTTTTTTTTTTTTATTTTTGTATTTCTTTAGTGAATTTTTTTTTCATATTTCAGTTAAATTTTTTTAGATACATTTAAAAAATAAAAAATAAATAAATAAATTGTGAAGAAATCTATGAAAAAAAATCATTTTTTTTGTATTTAGTGATTTTTTAAAAGAAAATTTTCATAAATATTTTACATTTTAAATGTATTTAGATTAAGTAAATTTAAGAAGTAAAAAAAATTACATAATTTTTTAAAAAAAATTCACTAAAGATAAAAAATAGGAAAAATAAAATTTTAAAAACTAAAAAATTGTTTTTTAAAAGTATTAATTAAACAAAATAATTTACTATTTACATACTCAAAAAGTGTACGAAGAAAACACAAATTTGTAATTAGGATCTGAACTGTATGTTACATGGTAAACTAGTCAATGTGGGTATTGCAAATGCTCTAAATATGGGTTATTTTGGAAGGTGTTGAAAATTCAGTCAATGCCTAAAATTAGAAAATCTAATAAGAATGACATGGACTGTATATATATGTATAGTTGAATTGGTTTTGACTACCGTGAGAGTAGCCCATTTTTTTGCTAGTATGGAATTTGAAATAGTATTCTGATTAAAATTAGGGCAAATTACATATACCCCTCAAGGTTTGGCTAAATTACCAATACCCTCATGAGTTTGAGAAATTACAAATTCCCCCTTGAATGTTATATTTGCATAACAAATTAAGGGGTAATTTGTTATGAAATTTAAACCTCAGGGGGCAAATTGTTATGAAAATATAAACCTTAGGGGGCGGAATGTAATTTCTAAAACTTCAAGGGGTATTTATAATTTAGTCAAACCTCAAGGGAGGTATATGCAATTTGCCTTAAAATTAACTAAAATTATGAGTACGGGAGAATAGATGTTAAAAATTTATTAATTTAATGATATTAAGTTTTAGGTAACGTTATGATATATTTCTCTCAAAAAATGTGTATCATATATATACTTTTGTTACATATTTTTGTGATATATGTTATGCAGTTTTTGTTAAATAATACATATTTTTGTAATAAAATTATGATAACTTGTGATTTAAAAATAAAATTATGCATTTTGTGGTAATACTAAGCATTTTTGTTGTAATGTTCCACATTTTTTGGTTAGAAAATGTTTGAATAAAAAAATGTGTAATATTATTACAAAATACATAACTTCATTTATGAATTACAAATTATACTAGAAAAAATATGTTACATTTAGCACAAAAATACACACACACTCGTGGAGGGAGTGACTAACATAGAGTTCCCATTGAATTTTAGATGTAAGATAAAAGATATTTGTTTGTGTATTAGTGTTTAGCGTTAGTGGATTGAGATTAAATTAAATTATGAAAAAAATTCTCATTATATAAAAAAAGACTTTATTATTCTTGTGTCAATTATAGGTAAAATAGTCATTCTACATAAGGCTGTAAGAAAAATAAATGAAACCAAGCCGACCCGGTCACCGTTGATAATATTTTTTGATACGTCTTTATCATTAAAAAGATTAATTTTTTAATCTAAGGTCATATCCTCTCACAAAGATGAATTTCTCACCAATAAATCTTACAAAAAACATAAAAAATAAAAAATAATATATTTAAGAAATTGTTACAAAATATTTTTTTATGATTGAAAAAGTAATATGACATTTAATTTTTTTATCTAATGACAAACAATTTAATATATTTTTTATTTTTTAACTTTTTAATAAAGAACTAGGCTTTTAAAAGGACAACAATGTTATATAATATTTTAAGAATATTTAATATTTTAAAAAAAAATATCAAACCATTATCATCATCATTAATAATAAACAATGACAATCTCAATTACGCACTAAAGACAATCTTGACTTGTCATTATTATATAAAAATAAATAAATTAAGGTTTATTAATACATCACCAACCACTCTCCATCAATGACTAGACTACCAATAAAAGGAATTGGACCATCGTTATGCGAAAAAATAAGATAAAAATTAAAAACATTGGTGGATTAGATTTGCTTTGGCTGTACGTCACTATAAAAGTATATAATTTATTTATTATGAATAAAAAAAATTCTATAAATTTTGGGTTGAAATTATCTTATATATTTTCAACTAATAATCCACTAACTATGAAAGTTGACACCAACTTTTTCACTAGAGGAGAAACTTTCAAATAAAACATTACAAAATCTAACATGATGGCCAGGCCCAAGACAAAATTTTATTATGAGTATGGTTATTCAGGTTTAAAAGTTAAAGAGGTTGTTCGGGATGATTTAAATAAGTGTACTTTTTATTTTTTTACGAAAAGATGTGTAGAAAAGTAGAGAGATGATATGATAAAAAAAAGATGAAAAAATAAAAAGTGTGTACTTATTTAGGATAGCTAAACTTGACTTAAATTTATTTTTTAAATTTAATAATGTGTCAAGAATATAATTAATTGATAATTAAATATTTTATAATTATCAATCAATCATATTTTTAACAAACTATTAAATCTAGAAAATGAATCTTAAAAATAGACTTATTTTCTTATTATTCGGCCATTGTTAACCAGTGGGGCACTGGATGGAAAATGTTTCGTAGCTCGAAACATTTGCCCTGAATGGCTCGATTTTGAAGCAGAGGGGAAGAGAGAAGCAGAGGGAGAGGGAGAGGGAGAGAAAGAGAGAAGCAGAGGGGAAGAGAGAGAGAGAGAGAAGACGATCGTCGCCCAGCCGCCGATCCGCCGATCATCGCCTAGCCCAGCCCCGCCACAGCCTCCGACCGCCATTGCCCCGCCTCCGCCTCCTCCTCTCCCGAATATTATGCCCCCTCCAGTCCTCCTCCTCCCTCCCTTCTTCCTCCTCCTTTCTTCCTTCTTCTTCCTGATCTTCGTCCTTCTTTTACAAAAAAAATAAAATAAATTTGAACCATTCAAACTCTTCGTTTTTGAGATACGTAGCGCAATCGGGCACTGGATAAATGGATCCCACTAGCATGAAATTTAATAAAGATATCACCAATTCTGACATGTCTGAAAGGAATAATTATAAATGACGTTGGAAGTAAAATGCTTGTCTATTGAAATTGAGGGATTTCGATTTTGCTTGAATGACGTGACGTTACTTTTATCAATTGTAGTTGTTAACTGGCATCTGCTTTAATAATTGGCTAGACAATTTGTGACGATCTATTACGTGTAATATTTTATATTTAATTAATTAAAAATATTTTAATTTTAATTAGTTTTTAGTCTGATTTAATTTGAAAATTTATGAAAATTATTCAATCTAATTCGTATATAATTTGATTAAGAATTTATTTTGGAATTAGAATTTGGGAGGTTAAATGGCTTGAGGAGGTGAAATTGATGACTTGAATCAATTTAATTTCAAGCATTGAGCCATATGAAAGTTTAATAAATATTCGATTCAGTTTAGTTACATTGAGATTTGATTAATTGGGTTCGAATGAGAGTTAATTAAGTTATGAGAATTGAGAATTTTGATTATTACGAATTAAATTTATTTATAAGGTGTTCAATTGAATACGTAATTTATTGACGAAGATTTTGAAGTTAAATATGAAATTGAAAGCCTTAATGATTTAAGAAACCAAAATTGATGATGGAAATAAGTTTAATTTAATATGTGGAGTTTTTTTGAGAGTTTGATTAAATTCTGATTCATAATGGTAAATTTAAATATAATTAATTGGGTTATAATTGAAGTTGAAATTAGACTGATTAAATTATGCGAGATTTGTGATTAATTATGATTAATTTAATTATGTATTAATCAAGATTTATTAAGATTAAGTGCTGCTTAATTAAATTAATTCTAAACATAAATTGAATTATGAAACAATCTAGGATTGAGGGTGTATTTGGGTGTGAGTGTGTAGAGAAAATTTATGCAAGTGTGTACATGTGAGTGTTGTGTTGGAGGCTTGATTAAGTGTGCACGTGTGCAATGTGATGGCAATAAGAGAGGCATGTGTGTGTGTGTGTATATGTTGATGAGTCAAGAAGTAAGGCTCATTTTCTGTTGCTTTCTGCTAGAAGAGTTGAGAGAGAGAGAGAGAGAGAGAGAGAGAGAACCCCATTGTAGGGAGAGAGTGAAGCTCAAAACTTACATGGAAAATGAAGAAGACTTGAAGGAGTTAAGGGAAATCATCTCTAATTTTGAGATTTAAGCTTGAGGTGAGTATTCTAAATCTTAACTTTGTAGAAAAATTCTCCACACATCTTGAATTAAGTGAGTTATAGAATCAATTCCATAGTTCTTGAAAGAAAATGGGTTTGAATGAGAAAATTTAGTTAGGTTTATGGTTGTGGAAATAAACTTTGAAATCAATTATTTTTGGTTAGATTTTATATATCTTGCATGAATTTGAGTTATATTTCTATATGAATGGACAAATCCTACAAGTCTTAATACTCTAATTGTACATGCGTCATAGATTTCTTATAATTAATTTCATGTTTTGGTGAAATAAGAACTTAGTCTTGGAAAATTATAAGTTTATGAACAAATGAGTTTAATCTTAAATTAAAGGAATTTTGATGTAAATGATTTAAAAATTAATCATATTCTTTGTGATTAATTAAGAGTTTGTGTATTTTTAAACAAGCCATGTACAAACCTAAGTTTTGAGATTATATTTTGAAAGTTTAATTCATATTTTAGAATTTATGAATTTGAAATTGGGTTCAACATGAAGAAAATTAATTTGGATAAATCAAGAAATTAATTATGATTTAGAATTTGACAATCAAGAATTGACTTGATACTAGCAAATATTTTTCTAAGAGCTTGTAGCTTAATTTTATGATTTGCAAGAAAGGAAGAAAATTATTAAAATCATTAAATTTGTGGAGATTTGAGCTAAGAGTTAGAAATGACCTTATATACATGTTTTTGGGAGTATTTTTGTACATTAGAACATGTCATGCATGAAATTTGGAACTTTAAATGTGTGCTTGAACTTCAAACAAAATTCTAAAAATTTCCAGAATTCGACTTGTCCGCTCGAGCGAAGAAAGTATCGCTCGAGTGTAAAAATCAAGCTCCCAGAAGTTCTTCAGAGTTTTACAGGCCGCTCGGGCGACAAAAGTTGCGCTCGAGTAGAGTACCCTATTTTAGAAAATTTTAAAAAGCTAGTTCATATTTCGATTTCCGTTCTCTTTCACTTCTAAGCACTCTTAGGTATGTACTAAGCATTATAAATGAACTATAGAGTTGGAAAGAGCCTAAGAGAATTAAATGAATTAAAGAATGGAATGAATTGTATTGTGACCCGTTTTCCATACTTATCACGAATTGTGTATGTAGACGTCCCCGAACGTCCCGAGAGGGAATCCCGTTTTGTTCATTTGGGCTCACTACAGTTCAGGACTCAATGTCACGGTCTTGTATCTAATCTCGCAGAGTGCAATGCAAGACCAATGAATCATCAAAGATTCCAAATCCGGCAAATCATTTTTAAAAAAATCGATTTTTAGAAAGAAGTGCCAAAAATGGACTGCTTTGCCAGGTACAAAGTCGCCACCTAAATATTTATTTTGGGGGAATTTAGAAACTCTGACTCGTTGCCTAAGGCCACGTGTCCGTCATCACCAAAGTTGCCTCGGCTCGGGAACTTGGGTACGATTGGGGAAGGTCAGCTATGAGCACCCCCGCTCGCCCGATCAAAGATCGGCCTCTACTAACCATGATATCGATTTTTGAAAACATTATGTGCTCTTATTCCGATTTATTAGCCTAGAATTACTACGTGATGCACACAGCAAAACAAGTATAGACTAGATTGCCTAAGTTGGAACAAAGCATCGTATATCTGTTTGTTTTGAAAAATGGATTGAAGTTTGCTACTCGCAAGTAGGCTGAAACACGGGTTTCGACGAATTATTCCAATTCAAGCAACCCAACCTTCACCCACAGGCATTCAGGCAATTATATCACATAAGCATATAGCCTCATGGTAAGCATGCTATCATGGCAATCACTCACACGCATGCAAGGATGCTAAAGCATAAACACTTATCGAGTACTCCGAGCCAAAACAAAAACTAGTTAGTAATCAATGCATGATCCTAGTTCATGTTAAGATGGCTAATGCAACACATGCAAAATGCAATTAAGATAGGCTCGGCTATTCTAAGATGGCATGTGAGATGCTATAACTAAACACGTATTCAACTTGAAATTGAAATACAATGCAGTGAGTATGATGCGCCGAGCCCGGTGCATGCAAGACATATAAATGATACAAACATGCATAGCATAAGGATGCTAATTGAAATATGCCCTAAATCTAACCATCGTAAGCGGTTAAATAAAAAGGAGAAAGAAATGGGGGTTGGAAGACATGCATCACACACATGCACACTTATTACAACATTGCCCTCTCTCGGAGGGTTCGAAAGAATAATACAAATTAACTAACTAACAAGCTAATTAATTATTATACAACACTTAACTAATTAAATGAATTAATTAAGCTAAGAAAGCAATAAAGAGGCCTCGGGAATATGGATGAATGCATGTATGCTCGGCTTTGCTCGGAAATCCGTTGTCATGCTCATGTTGCCTCTGTTTGCACTGCTCTGCACATCTGAAGACTGCACAAGTCCCAAGGATGCTTCAGAATCACTCCATGATCACTGTGGGATGTCACCGGCCAAGAGGAATGGTCACCGGCCATGAAAAAGTGGTAATCGACCAGTTGTGAGGCTCTCGGCCAACAATGGATAGTCGGCCGGCACTGAAGATGGCCGACCGGCCATCTCTTCCTGCAGAATTCTATTTGACAGCAACAGAGGGCAAACAGAGCATGGCAATGCATTTTCAAGGCAATGTATGCACAACCACCATTCCTATCATGTTTAAGACTCAAGGGAGTCTGGTACTCGACTCTCGAGCCACCAATCACGCATTTTCATGCATGACGGCCAAAGAGTCGAGTGTGCAATTCAATATGGAATGAAATGCACAAAACACATAAAGGGCCCCAACCTCTATCATGATTGATCAAGAGGCAAGGGATGCATGCTCAATGCTATGCAACCTAAGCATGCAAACAAACTAATGCAAAATGAGTATGCTAGCAAGCAATATACAATAGGCATACAACTTAAATATGCAAACATGCAACCTAGCATACACAATGCTATGGACTATATGGCACACACAATGCTATATGAACTATGGCATGCTCAATGCAACTAACCACCTAGCATACACAATGCAAGGAGTGACATGGCATACACAATGCTAACAACATAACATGCACAATACATTGTAACATGGCGTACAAGCACAACTCTCAATAACACTTAAAGCATGGAAAACATGGGAGTATGACACAAGTATAAGCTCTAAAATATCATACCCAATGATGCCAAAACATGCAAACACCTCAATATAAGCATGCAATAGGCTTCAAAACTCAAGACTAGGCATGGCTATTACACTACAAGCATACATGGCAAGTACCATTCGACCATGGGACATAAAAATAGAGCTAAGGCAATCCAAAACATGCACAAAATTAGTTTAAGGCATGGCCAAAATATGTTAGAATGGAGGGCAAAAATAACATACAATGTAAGCTAGTAAGCATGGTTTACACTACAAGCATATGGAGCATATGAGGGACCACCAAACTAGCCAAAAATAGATTCATGGCATGTCAAAATATGACCAAATACCCACTGAAATGTGTCCAATACATGCAAGAATGAGGTGCTCCTTTGAAAGGCCATCAAAAGAGTTATTCTACACATGCAAGAAGGACATCTAATATGGCAAAATCAGCTTTGGACAGAGCTTATACAGGTCCTAAAACTCACCAAAAAGGGCCTAAACTAAGCTTGGGATGCATGCAAATATGGGCTCCTATGTAAGGCCAAAAATACAAGTAAACAAGACAATAAGGAGAGGGGATACCCTCTCCTTCTTAGGACCTCAAAACATCATCCCCACCACTGAAAAGGCCAATACAAGGTGGTCCCGAAGCTCACAAAAAAGGCACAAAAATGAGGTCAAACAAGGCCTAAGAGGGGGTAGACAACCCCAAGCACAAAAGTGGTCTTAAACAAACTTCAAAGGAGCTCAAAATAAGACTTTTTCAGTTTATGACAAAGCTCGAAAATGCTTGCAAGTATGGCTAAAAGATGAAGCAAAATAAAGACCAAAAGAGGGTAAAGTGTGTTACCCTTGTAGCTTCAGCAAAACCAGCAGCTTTGAAACCAAAAAACCAGACCTTTAACCTCTGAAAATGGCCTCCAAGATCCTTAGGTTGATGATGGAGGTGTTAGGCTAAGAGTTGGTGTGCAAAGGGGCCAAGAGCTTCACTCTTTCTAAGCCTAAGTGTAAGGACAAAGAGAGATATATGTATATGCCTTGGCAAAAAATTTTTGGAACCTTTTCTAATGAGGGAGAGGCTCTCTCTTATAAAGGAACAAAGGTCCAAGCTTCTCTTAGAAGCTAAAGCAAAAAGGGTCAAACTTCTTGAGAAAGTTAGAGCAAAGGGGTCAATCTTCCTCAAGAAGCTAAGAAAGGTTCAAGTTTCTCTTAGAAGCTTGGAGCAAAAGGTTCAAGCTTCTTCAAGAAGCTAAAACAAATGTTCAAAAGGTTCAAGTTTCCTTAAGAAGCTAAAACAAAGGTGAAAATCCTCCATACACCTGCATAAAGCAGATGAATAGGGTCCGGCCAGCAAAAATGGCCGATTGACCAAAATAATGGCCGGCCGACTAAAAACATTGCCGACCGACCAACACTTTTGGCCGGTAGCAATAAAATAGGGCCGGTGGCAACATGCCAAGGCCGGTGGGGTGTGGGGATAGCCAACAAGCCATTTCCCACCCTCAGGTGCAAAGACCACAAGTCCTTGGTCCTACCAAGCACAAAACAAATAAGTCGAGAGATCTTAAGGCAAGGCGCGCGACCGAGACCGCCGAGAACTCAAAACGAACACGAACATGGATGATCATCGAGTGTTCAAACGATGACGTCTAAGTCTTGAGGATGGTCAAAAATGGGGTGTCTACAGTTGCCCCTCTTTGACAGAACTCGAAAGTCATAACAATGACGGGAGTGAATGTCAAAGCCCAGAGACGACCCATTTTTGACAAGGCCGAAGACTTAGACAAAGCATACAAGCTACAGATGAAGATATGCTCCCGAAGGCAGGGGCAAA